AAAAAAAAAAAAAAAAAAAAGAAAGAAAAAAGAAAAAATCTTTCCATATATCCAGGCTTATTACCTTAGGGTAAATTCTTAAGAAGTAGAATATTTCTTTTAAAGTGTGAATATTTTTATAATATTGACACATGGCATCTAAACACCAGAACCAAACCTAACTTTATCATAAATGTGCCTTTCTGACGCCCTTGAACAGTTCATATGACAATGACAATGACTACTGCGTTTCCGGGCCTCATTTAATTCTTCATTTGCTGGTGATTGCAAGAACCTACTTTAGAGGAAGTTGAAGTGAGGTTAGTTGGGAAGTATTTAAATTCTAGTAATTCCTGAGTTAGAACAAAGTGAAAGAGAAAGTGCATGGGCAGAGCAAAGGATATAAAGGCAGTGGCCTGCTGAAGAGTCATTCCTGCAATTGACTTCTGAGCCAAAGTTCCTCTTTAGAACAACATGATGCTCAAGGTATTGTGACATTTTAAGTGGCTTAAATTGCTTTTCTAGCTTAATTCTTTCCCAATCTCTTCAGTTGCCTTCTCCTTTTAAGAGCTGTCTGCTGTGTTTCAAAAATGGCATTTTAACTTTTCTCGTAGCCTCTGGGCTACCTAATCAAGTGCATCTTCATTCCCATCAGTGTTTTACAAATCAAAGACATGATTCTGTTGCATCATATTAGGAAGAAAATGAATCATGGTGAGTAAATTGAACTTTATAAGTATCCTTTATGACATTGCTAAATTATATTTCTAACTATCTGTTTGCTGTCACCATCTCTTGTAGTCCCCCAATAAGATTTTTGAGGCAGAAAGCACCATGTATTGGTTTGGCCTTCTAGAGAGCTTAGCACAATTAAGTTCACAAGAATTTGTGAAATTTACTTATTAAATGACTTCATATTGTGTCTTCATTTATACACTATTCAAATTACAGTATTTTACTACAAGGAGAGGCAATTGTGATGAGAAAGTCATAGAGATCTTTTAAACATAGAGGAGTGGACAGCTGTATGTTTATTTCCCTCATGATCCTGCCTTCCAGGGCCAGGGATAGAAGGGCCATTTGTTCTTAGGATCAAGTGTAGGGATGGCATTTAGGACTTGTCAGGGAATCCCATGGGCTCCCCCTGCATAGATCACCAGCAGTACGGCTGTGTGTAGGTGGACGCCCAATGACCTGCCGAGTTCCATGTTGACATCCCCCACCTACTCCCCGGGCATATACTGGTCCCTTCAAGGCACTGTCATGTCAGACCTAGCACTGAAAGGATAACTCATTAGCCACTAAATATTCTCAACTACGGAAATGACTGGCGTGGGAAGACAGGTGAAAAGGAAGTTGTCTGAGAACCAAGGATCCAACTAGTTCTTGAAGCCTTAAATTTTACTTGGCAAATCATCAAGCTGGTTCTTTTTCTAACTTCCCTCTCTCCCTCCCTCCCTCCCTCCCTCTGATATTTTTCCAAATATATGAAAGTCAGTGTTACTTTTATTTTCTGTCCCAACCAAAAAATGTCCTGTCGGCACCATTTCTATCTCTCAGCTGTCTTCTCTTCGCCTCTCTCCTATTGCAAGCTACCTTCACTTTCTATCAAAATCTGAGACATAAGAAGTTAGCCCTCCTTTTGTAAATGGTGGGCATTCCCTGACTTGATAAATCCAGAGACTCTAAGAATGGTGATCAGGGTAAAAGACTCTTAGCAGGGCCCTGGTTCCATCCATAGCTCCCCTGATGCTGAACTCAGCACGAGGGCTCTCATAATCCAGCAACCACTCACCCTACAGTTAACGTTTGTAAGTGAGGGATCTTGTGCTCTCATAGACAAAGGAAGTTGCTCATTGATGTGACCATTAGAGCAGGGAAGGAAAATTACTTAACATTTTACTCAGAGGTACTAAATGATAGGCATAGAGTGAAACACTCATTCAGATTGGATGGTTTTACCCTTGCATCATTCTGTCCCAAGTCTGTTCTCTGGAGCAGTAGGTATTTATCTCTGTCTATGTTCTCTCCCACCTCTAAGTATGCCTCTCCTCCCACGGAAGATTTGATGGACATAGAATGGACCACCTGAGGCCCAGAACTATATTTTCACTTGTAATCTGAGGCTTACAAAGATTATCACTTTGGTGTAGAGAATGATGCAAAAGAGCACCAACAATGTCTAAGAATGGTCAGTTCAGGGGCTGGTGTAAAGGATGAATTGCACACTGTTGAAGCAGAGGCAATGAATTATGAAGGCAGCTGCTCTACAGTAATGCTGGAAATGTTTTAAATTTCCTAGAGACAATATTTTAGGGACATTGAAAATAATCCCCTTCCCCAAGAACCTAAAGTAGGTGTATGGTTTGGGCCTATTCATATTATTGGACAGTGCTTAGTAGCACTAAAGAAGTAGCACTGAAGAAAGATGCTAAATCAGAAGAGAAAGAGGGTGGAAAACTTGTAAGGATATCTGGAAAGCATTCTGCCCCTGGAAACTGTAACAAGCTTAAACAGAAAAAAATAAAATTTGCTGCTAATAAAGATAACATTGATGATGATGATGATAATGATGATGATGATAAGCAAACTGAAGAAAAACTCTAGTTTAAAAAAAATATAGAATAAAAAGACTCAAGATCCTCCAGGCCAAGATCAAAAGGTTAAGAATTCTTCCAAAAACAAAACAAGAAGAAAACTTCTAAAATAACAAAAAGATCTCATTCTGTTGGAAATGTTAAAACAGAAGACAAATTTATCAGCGCTATGGTTTATGTCAAGATGTCTCCTGAAAGCCTCATGCAATCATAGGTGGGGCTTCAGTGATATGACTGGGTTATGGGGCACTGTGCTCACTGGTGGATCAGTCCACTGATGAGTTTATAGCCAAATGTACTGTTAGGAGGTGGGGCTGGATCTGAAGAGGTGGTCACTTCAGGCGTGGCCTGGAAGCATATACCCCCTTCTCCAGCTCCTCCCTTGGAGTTCTGCTTCCTGGCCACCAAGAAATTCACAGCTTTCCTCTGCCAGACCCTTCCACCATGACTTCCGGCCTTAAAGCCAGGCAACTCTTGACAAAAAATGTGAGTCAAAGGAAATTTCTCCTCGTTTAAGTTGTAGGTAACTGTTAGGTATTGTGTCTCAGTGGCAAGAAAGTGACTAAGATTTCGGTACAAGAGAAGTAGGATCATTGCTATGACACTACTTACCCATGTGGTTCAGGAGCCCCTCAAAGTCATTCTTTGTAGGAATTTGGGAAGGTTTGGAAATGCCAGTCAGAGAGGCAGCCCTAGGATGCTGTAAGCCAAGCTTGGCGGGAGAGTCTGGTCATAGCTCAGTAGACCAGAATGCTTATAAGAAAGCAGACAGTAAAGACAATGCTCAGGGAACTTCAATGGGGAGCCAGAACTCCATTGGCAATTAGATTCCAGGCCAGGTGTTTATGTTCTGGCAGAAATATTGTCTATATTTTGCTCATGACCTGAGACTTTTCAGGAAACTGAGATTAAGGGCTGCAAATTAATTAATCTGGTGGAGGAAATTTCTAGGCAATCCAACATTCAAGCTGTAGGATGGTACTGTTGGGAGTTTATAGCTTGCTCCACAATGAGAATCAAGACTGATTTTTTAAAGTTTTGAGTTTCACCAGAAAAGAAGATCCTATGAAGTTGGAACAGAGGAGACCTTGGTTGATGAAAAATTATTATATTTTATATTTTGACAATACATATGATGCCATGAAGGCATGAGGGGTAGAAGGAAATTAGCTTCCTGGAACTTCATTCACGGTACTCAGACACCCGTGCACTCAAAGGCCTCTGCACCTGTGTTTCAAGGGAGCCCAGCTACTTTTCCAGCTGGTAGCAGATCTTGGCATCATTCACATGATGCTGGTTTTATAAGCATACAGAATGCAAGAGTTATGGGTGTAATGGAGGCTTCCACTCCAATTTCAGAAGAAAGGCTGGGAAGCTGGACAGTGTACCTCTGGGAGAGCAGCGCATGAAGCTATGAGACTGAAATGAACGTGCAGGAGGGGAAGCCAGGAAAGTGGAACATTCCTGATGAAAGCTGCAGGGAGTGAGCAAAACCAGTCCAAGAGAGAAGCCATGAGGACTACAAGCCCTGGCGCATTGTAGCATTTGTAGGGGTGGGGCTGTAGAAGCCCTTTGGAGTTCACATCTCGCCCCAACTTGCCCAGCATGCCGGGCATAGAGTTACAAAGATTAGTGTTTTTCCAGCTGGGTTTCAGTCTTGCTTTGGTCCCATTGGCTTATAGCCCCCTATTTCTTCCTTTTGAAATGTGAATGTTTCACTGTGCCATTGTATGTCAGCAATGTATAACTTTCTTTTTTATTTTTCCAGGGGTTCACAGCTAAGAGTTTCTCACAAGTCTCAGAGGAGACTTTGGACTTGGACTTTTCAACAATGTAGAAACTGTTAGGATTTTGGCCACCCTTTGAGATGGACTAAATGCATTTTGCATAGAGATGCACATGAGCCCTTTGGGAGCCAGGGGTGGAATGTTACGGTTTATATCCAGATGTCCCCACGCCATGTAACCACAAGTGAGGCTTTTGGGAGGTGATGAATCATGGACACTACACTTATTGGTGGATTAGTCCACTGCTGAATTTATGACTAAATGTGCTGTTAGGATGTGGGGTTGGGTCAGAAGAGGCCGTTACTCCAGGCATGGCCTGGAAGGGTGTATTTCCTCTTCCAGCTTCTTTCTTGGAGCTCTGCTTCCTGGCTCCCATGAGATGAACAGCTTTCCCCTGTCAGACCCTTCCACTATGCTAGCTATGGACTAAAAATGTGAGCCAAAAATAAGTATTTCCTCCTTTAGGTTGTGAGTGTCTGCTGGGTATTGTGTTTCAGCAACAAGAGAGTAAAAAAGATAACCAGTTATGTGAAGAATTCCTTCCAGATAGGCCATTTAAATTTTTTTTACAGCAGAGAAAATCTCTTTAAGAAAATAGTTGAAATGTTTTGTTGTAGTTTCCCCTTTCTGTAACATTTGATATCTGACAGTCCTTTTTATAATGCAAAGTGTTTGATCAGTGTTGTCCAGGTTGCCAAAGTGTATTTTCAGATGATTATTTAGTTTTTGAAGGTAGACTCCCTCCTCTTGGCTTTGTTTTAAGTATGTATGGAATGCTATAATAAGATATAGTAGGACTGGTGGTCAGACATAGAGATGATGGAAAGACCGAAATATATATGTGAGATAACTCAATATTTTAATACTGTAAAAAGATAGAATATTTTAAACCATACACAATAGATTTTCTCTTTGAAGACAAGCAGGAAACAAATGTATATGAACTGAAAAAGTTGCTACTTCTTATGAAATTCAAATCACCCCATCCCGCATTGTTTTGTTTGTGGGTAGAAGCAGAATGATTTTTCCCACTAGGATGATCGCAGTGCACTTTATACTCAAGTTCACTATGCTCACATCAGTATTGCCTATTCCTCCTCTTATGTTTCCTCTCTTGACAAGTGGCACTGGCATGTGCCCATCCAGAACATGGTACCCAACTCAAACACATTCTCTAAGCAATTGCTAAAGAGAGCTTTCCAAACATAATTCTGAAACCCCATGACTCCCCAGATTCCCCACTGACATCACTGTTTTTAGCATCATATAACATTCATCGTTCAGTTCTAGGCTGCGAATCTATTCTTCTCACCCTTGTTCCCTGCTCGAAGCTCTGCAGCTGATGTTCCAAATTCATTCTACACCCACACCAGTCCAAGCCTTGGCCTGTGCTGTTGGTTGCACCCTTAGCTTCCACCCTCATCCCTTCACTTCCACCTGACTCATTCTTGTGTTTTCATAGCCAGATTAGGCAGCAAAGTCTCCAGGGAGGCCCCAGCAACAAGAGAGAGCAGCAACTATGCAATTTCAAACTTTCCACTAAACATTTTTAAAAGTAAGATGAAACTGATTAAATTAATATTTTATTTAGCAGATATGTCCTAAATATTTTCATTAAAATGGTGATATATCAATATATTGAATATTGATTCAACATGTGACCTATATTTTTAAAATATTGAGACACTTTATATTTTTCTCCAAGTGTTCAAAATTCAATATTTGTTTTACTCCCATGACACATCTCAATTTGGAGTAACTACATTTTAGTCAGCCAGTAACCACATTGCAGAGTTATACCATATTGAACATAACACCACTAAAATACCTAAGAATCACCCTGGGGCTGTGTAGCTCAGTAATAGAGCCCTTGCCAGTCATGCACAAATCCCTTTGTTCCATCCCCAGCACTGAAAAAATAAAAATCACCTAGGAATCTGAATGAAAAAAAGACTCTTGTACCAGACTTCTGTCCTTCTACTTCTGAAGACACTCTGATTCTGGTGGTATAGAGTGCGGTCTTTTTCAAAAGGAATTCCAGGGTGGTTTGGTTGTTCATGCTCCCAGACTGCACCTTAGGAAATGTGAACTTATAGAGAAATGCCCTGATTTTGGAGTTTAAGCTACAGGTGTCCCTCTTTCCTCCTCCTCTTACTTTCTGTACTTCCCTCCAAATGACCCATCACACTCTGTTATCACCTACTGTCTTGCCTGCGTCCTCACATCAGTGAAAGACAGAATCTAGCTATTGTGCATTTCCACATCTCTGAGCCTCACAAACTGGTGCTCAGTACACACCATTTTTTAGAAATACTAAATCTGATCAATTAGATTCCCTCTAGTGGAGTAAGACTCTCTCAAATTCTCTTATGGAAAAGAAGTGTGGGAAGACAACATGGAGAGTGACACCATTCTAACCTTTTCTCTTTGAAGTCTGTCACAGAAAGCTTTGCCAACGTCATCCACGGCTTGAAAGTGGGACACCTAACAGACTGTGTCATTCAGAGGAGCAAGAGGATGATTCTGGATACGCTGGGTGTTGGGTTCCTGGGAACCAGCACAGAAGTGTTTCACAAAGTCAGCCAATATAGTAAAGTAAGCTCAACATTTACTTCAAAGATAAAAGCAACGTGCTTACTCTGGGCTAGCCCCAGAAGTACGTGTTTGTGTTCTGGTTACTCTATACTTAGTTATATAACTAGCACTTGGTTTGCACACCCCTGTTCTATGCAGTTTTATGATTCTCTCAGCTTCATTATTGATTTTAAAAATTCATCCATATCCTTACTGTCACTATATTAAAGCCACTTACTAATAAAATACCACAGCTTATTATTATTAGGGCTAAAAGCACATTTTAACCCAAGCATTGGAAGCAAAAACATGTGCCACAGACTATTTGTTAATGCAAAGACTTTAAAGATTCTCTGCAGCTGAGGATGATAGCATACACCTATAATCCCATCACTCTGTGGCTAAGGCAGGAGGATTAAAAGCCCAGGCTAGGCAACTTAACAACTTAATAAGACTCTGTCCCAAAATTAAAAATAAAAAATGAAATAACTCAGTATGAAGTCTGGGCCCAATTTCCAGTACCACAAAAAATAGAAATGAAAAGATTACCTGAATAAAAGTCTAGTGGAGGTTTTGAGCATAGAAGGGCATGACATGGGAAATGTAGCATCCACTCTCCACAGAATACACCTGGTTTAGGCAACAAGTCCTCCATTCCCTGGTATTTATGCCAAGAAAATAGTAGGGTATCCAAATTACCTGGAGGGTAATAGGGTATTCAAATTACCTGGAGCACTCTAGGGACTGAGTGACATCATCTTCTCTTCCTACCATGGGTAAGGTTGTATATTCTTCTATAAGGTAGAATTTTAATGACTAAGGCTTCTAAGGGCTCAAAGAAGAACTAGTAATATGATGTCTCCAAAGGTAAAGAACACTCTTGAAATGTTCACTCTGTATGTCATGCTCACTCTGCATCACTGATCGATATTCTTCCCTTCTAGATCTACGGTTCCAATATGTCCAGCACTGTTTGGGGTCAGCCAGATTTCAGGCTTCCACCCTCATATGCTGCTTTTGTTAATGGTGTGGCTGTAAGTTTACATGTCTTTTCAACTAGTAGATTGTCATAATAATTTCAGAGCTAGGAAACACCTTAGAATTGCATAATTTCCTTGTTTTAGAGATAAGATCATTAAAGTTCAGAGATGATGTAGCCCATCCTCTCTTCTATTGTAATAATTTCAGTTTTCATTACTTTCCTGTTTTTACAATAAATTTGTGTTTTCAAACAAGACATGAAATAGAAGAGGTGAAAGGATTTAGATGAAAGCACCTCCAGGATATTCCAACTCCAAATCTTGAATGTATATAGCAAAAAAATATAAAGCCTAGTATCCAGACACAATTTCTTCTCACTTTTTTCTTTTGTGCTTTACAAATTTCTGTCCAGTACTGTTCTTTTCATTTCTTCATCAGCTACTTACTGGCAAAGAAACAATGGCTACATGGCATCTGTATTTTTTGAGTGAAAAATCAGCACTTCTGACAGATTTTTATATTTTTTCTCTGCATAAGAAGTCTAAAAGATGTGATTTTCACATATACATGTAGGGATTTCGGATATTTTTTATGGTTTATGGGGATAGCATCTCAGACTTTTGAAAGTCAAATGCAGTGTTGCATCTATCAAGCAGTATGAAACACACTAGCTGTATCAAAATTATATTTTAATGAATTTCTAGTTATTACTATGTCATGTATAAAAATGGCTGGGATGAAGAGAAGTAAAACATTACAGCAGAAAACCGTGATTTTTAAAATGTAATTAATAGATAATCTAGGTTCTAGAGTTCTTATGCTGTTCTTAAGAATTCTGAGGAAATTTAAAATTATTTTCTAGTAAAGAGATACAAAAAATATATGTTTTTATGTAATAAATTACATTAAACATTTAACGTGATGTGTTTAAAGAGTGAGGGAAGAAGGAAAGAGCAGCTTTGTGCTTAAGGGGTAGTATAGATCTCCTAAAGGCTTCTAGCCGCCTGCTGAAGACCCAAGATCGTCGGGCTGCTGTCCAAGGTCCTGCCCTCTTCGAGGCAGAGGAACAGCAAGTCCCAGTGCCCAACCATGGGATTGAGAATCACCGCTTCTTCTTGGGTTTTAATTTCAGAAAATTAGATTTTTTAAAAATTCACCAGAAAACAGGTTATTACTAAACTAAATCCTTACTGGTCCAAAAGTCAACGCATTCCAAGAAACGATGGGCTTTTTGTTGTTGTTGTTCATATCTATTTATACAGATTCACTCAATGGATTTTGATGACACGTGGCACCCCGCTACCCACCCATCTGGGGCTGTCCTTCCTGCCCTCACAGCTTTATCAGAAGCCCCGCCTCAGTGTGCAAAGTTTTCTGGCCTTGACCTGCTGCTGGCTTTCAATGTTGGTATTGAAATACAAGGCCGATTAATGCACTTCTCCAAGGAAGCCAGTGACATTCCAAAGAGGTATGGAGAGAACTCACCCAGAGGAGAAGCTGCCACATTCCCCTTCATCTGGCTATCTACATAGAGGTTTCTGGTTTAGAGGCTGCTCAGCTGAAGATAATAACATTGGTGCTGGGAGAGGAGTCAGTTCCCCTCACATACCAAACCCAATGTCCATATACAAAAGTGTGGCTTCATAAGCAGTAATAAAAATTTCCTTTGGGTTGTGAGATCCAATGAAGCAGCTAGGAACATGAAATAATTGGAGTCTCTCATCCTAAGGTTGCTCATATCACTCTAATCCATGAGTAATATAAGTATTCCGATACCATCCTCAGAGCAGAATCTTCTCTGATGTTCACTGGGATCCTTCAGATTAATGAGGACTTTCAGAAGGTCCTAACTCTGATTGTAAACCCCACAGATCAAAACTAGCTAAATCACATGGTTTAATCTAATATTTTTTTGCCACTTGATCCACTCTTCTAGAAGATGAATACATTAGAATGCAGAGTAATAAACTTTCAGTTTCCATTAGGAATCAAAAATTTTGCTTTTCTGACAATAACTATACCATTTATAAAGAAGTTGTTATATTTTTTCATTTTTTCCTATTTTTTCTTTTCCCTTATGGAAATAAAGTGTTTATAAATGGGGAGGGGAGGAGGGGGTGAAGGGAGGGCAGGGACAAGGGGAAAAAAGGAGAAACAAGACCCGTCATGTAAAGGTACAAGATCCCAATAATGAATGTAACTGTACTGTATACCTAAAATGTACCAATAAACTCAATGAAGCAAAAAAGAACTTGCTATAAAGCATAATATGTTAACATGTGATTTCAAAATTCGAAAACCCTGTGAGTACATATTATTATCATCATTTTATGTAGGAAAAAAATGCAGAGAACTTGAATTAGATTCTCAAAGTCACACAGCTAATAAGTGAAAGAGCTGAAATTTGAATGGAAGCTGTATGACACCATTATTATTACTAAGCAATACTACTTCCTAGTGGTTATGTTTTGTAAATCTCCAATTCTGTTTTGCTTTTCAGATTCCATCCTCCCTCAGTGGTAGGAACTTTGGGTAGTGCTGCTGCTGCATCCAAGTTATTAGGGCTCAGCTTGGCAAAGTGCCAAGAGGCCCTGGCTATTGCTACTTCTTTTGCTGGAGCACCCATGGCAAATGCTGCCACTGAGGCCAAGCCCCTTCATATTGGCAATGCTGCCAGGCATGGAATAGAAGCTGCTTTTCTGGCAATGCTAGGTCTCCAAGGAAACAAGCACATCTTGGACATGACAAAAGGATTTGGTGCCTTCTATGCCAACTATTCCCCAAAAGTCCTTCCAAGCCTGGATTCCTACAGTTGGCTGTTGGATGAACAGGATGTAGCCTTCAAGTGTTTCCCTGCACATTTGGCTACCCACTGGGTGGCAGAGGCTGCTGCAACTGTGAGACAGCACCTTGTGCTTTCAGATGGAGTCCTGCTTCCTGCCGATCACATTGAGAAAATTGTACTCAGGGTTCCAGATGTTCAATATGTAAACAGACCCTTCCCAGGCTCAGAGCATGAAGCCCGTCATTCCTTCCAGTATGTGGCCTGCACTATGCTGCTTGATGGGGATGTTGCTGTCCCATCATTCCACAAAGACCATATCAGTAGGCCACAGGTGACAGAGTTACTCAGGAAGATAAAGCTCGAGCATCCTTCTGACAACATGCCAAATTTCGACACAATGTACTGTGAGATCTGTGTCACCCTTAAGGATGGAGCTACACTCACTGAGCGCTGCAGTACCTTCTATGGTCATTGGAGGAATCCACTGAACAAGGAGGACCTACAGAAAAAGTTCAGGGCTAATGCCACTGCGGTTCTGCCCCGTAACACATTAGAAAGTCTTATAAAGATAGTAGAAAAGCTGGAGGATATAGAAGACTGTAGTGTGTTGACCACACTTTTGAAAGGCTCAGAGGAGACTTCAAAACTATCCAGAATGTAATCATTCCATTGCACACTCTCTCCCCAGGCCCACCAACATCTAACCCACTTTGCTTTTGAAGAGATTCAATAATCTGCTTTATAAAACAAGGGTCTGCTGCTTGGTCTTCCCAGGAATAAATGAAGAAATGAGGAAAGGGTTCAGAAATAGCACTGTATATATTAGGAAGGAGTCTTATCCTGTAATTTTTGAAGTACTGTTCAAATTACCTTAAGATGATATTGAAGAAACAAAAAGTGATTCTTTATGAACATTCCCATGGGTAAAGTATAAATCAACTTCAATTTGCTTGGACAGTCATCATTTCAGAAGAATTATTTATGAACTCAAGAGGAAGATAAACCTGTATGCTGTTTGCTGATGGTGGAGTGGGGCTCTGATCTGTTGTGCACAAGAGTTATTAGATGAAAGGTTGTTCTCCAGCACTCCACAGTGCAAAGGGTGCTTGTATGGGATCTCCTAGGGAGCTTCTAGGCGATCTAGTAGCTGCTTCCTTCATATGGCTCTGAGCTTCTTACCGAGTGTTCTTATGGTTAAATTTCTCTATTTGCAGAGTAAAAAAAAAAAAAGCAGTCTGAAGAGAAAAGCAGTTTGCCTCTACAATCCATGGTCTTAACCTTCACATGATATCATCTTTTAGTACAAAAGAGTTTTTGAGAAAAATGTTACCAATGACAAGTCAGAGATGCAATAAAGGAAGAAAAAGAAGGAAAAGATATGTTAATTATTTAAAGTAATAAAAATGTCACATGCTGTTTAGAATGCAAAATTTGCAATCATAGTGTGTTCTAAATTTCTGATGTTGTTGAAGAAAAGAGTAAAGCCCCTAACTCAAAACATGGATCTGGAAGAAGGTGTGTTGAAATTTCTAGGGTAACCATTTAAGAAGTGCAGAAGCATGTATCAATTCCAGGAAACAGAAGGAAAAAATTAGAATTAGAAAAAAAATAATACAAGGGGAAAAAAGTAAGGAGAAAGAAACAGAAAACACCACATACATTGTAGAAATCCAAGTACATTTATAGTTACAAAGTAAATAAAGGTACCAAATGCCTAAGTAAGAACAAGATTTTCTAAACATATTTTAAATGCTTAACAACTTTACTGTTGTTTATGTATCATTAATTCACTCATCTTAAATGTACAAAGCAATTTTTGCATATTTACAGAATTAGCAAACATTATTATAGCCTAGCTTTGTAATACTTCCACTGCTTCAAAAATTCCCTAAGACCTACTTGAAATCAATCCCCACTCCCACCTCCAGCCCTTCAGAAACAATGATCTTTTTATCAATAATTTGTCACTTTTTGGACATTTCTTACCAATGGAATATGTAACAAATTAGGCAGTCATATATGCCTGACTCCTTTTACTTTCCGTAATGACCTTGAGATTCTTCCATATATGTGTCAGTACCTTATTCTTTTCACTGCTGGATAGGATTCCATTGTGCAGATGGGTCCGTCACATTTTGTTGGCCCGTCACTAGCTAATAGGGAGTTGGACTGTTTCCAGTTTGAACTCTGAACACTCCAGTCTTTGTGTGTGGACTACGTTCCCATTTTCCTTGGGTAGACACCTAGGGCTGGGAATTCTGGGTCTTTGGTAGATATATATTTAACTTTACAAAACAAATACTTCCCAATATAAAAGGAGGTCATTAGAAAAGCCCAAACTATTTGTAAATAAAGAAACATTTTCCTAAATAACTCTTGGTCACAGAAGAAGCTATAGTGATAATTGTAAGATGTTTAGAGTTAACCAATGACATATATAT